CTGTCTTTCCTTTGTCGATAAATTTTAGATCATATGAACTAGACCAATCTTGATTTTTTTCTATCAATCTTCTAGTTGCCAAACTATTCACATAAGAATACTCTAGTAGAATATTTTAATCTGTCTGTTGATATTTGCAAACGCGTTTCTCTTTGCTATGATTGATAGCAAAGAGCTCTTGAAATTCACATTCATCGTGCTAACTTCCTGTTAAGCAACTTACCTATTCAAGACAGGACCTGGGGACTTGGCACCCCAGAGACCTTTTAGATAATAAATAGTGCTCAAAGGAATACTTGCAGATTTAATTGAATCTGAAAATATTTTTTTCGAGCTCCACAGGTGTGGTTGTAAATATTAACATTTAAAAGCAAATCTTTAGTCCCTCATTAATTTCTCGTCTCCGGTCAGGCACTCCGATGTAAATATAGCATTCTGAAAAGTGCCTTTGCCAGGCTTCGTGGCCCAAGCCTTGAATACTAACACTCAGGAGGCAGAGACAGGCTGATCTCAGTAATTTCGAGACCAGCCAGGCGTTCGTAGTGAGTTCCAGGACACCCATAACTACATGGTGAGACCCTCTCAAAGGAACAAAAAAGAAAAAGAAGCGTGTCTTCTTACACTGACTTCTTAATGTTACAACTTAGAGTCTGGAAAGCACACTATGCTGCTTCATGGTATCAGATCACAGTATTTTCACAGTTAGAAAAGACAAAAATCAGGTGGTGGTGGCGCAGGTCTTAATCCCATCATTAGAGAGGCAGAGGCAGGTGCATCTCTGAGTTCACTGCCAGCCTGGTCTATCGAGTAAGTTTCAGGATACCCAGGGCTACACAGAGAAACACTGTCTTGAAAAAAGCCAAAAGGAAAAAAAAAAAAAAAGAGAGAGATGCAGATGATATTGAAAAAATGATCACTCATTTAGATCAGAAAAATGTCTACATTAATCTTTTCTTTCCTTGGTTCAAGAAAAGCACTCTGTCCATAGACATATGACCAAACTTTTTGTTGTTGTTTTAGTTGTTGTGTTTGCTTTGTTTGAGACCTGAACTCAACAGTGTTGCTCTGCCTGGTCCCAAACTCACCATGCAGGACTGGTTGAACTGGAACAAAGAGAGTTCCACCCACCTCTGTCTCCTGAGGGCTAGGATTAAAGGTGTTCACCAACACGAATGTCCAAACTGTTGTTTATTTTGTGGTCTGTTGACAGTCAGTGTTGTGACTGTGGACTTCTCCCAGGAGGAGAGGCAATGCCTGGACCCTGCCCTGAGGGATTTGTACTGAGACTGGATGTTGCAGAGTTGCAGCAGAATGGTTTCCATGGCAAAGAATTATTTGCTTGCAATCTCCCTTGCTCCTCCTCAGGTTTCTTGGCAAATTACTCTGCAAGTGTGTGAGCTTTGTGCGAACGAGTCTCACATCCCCCAGAATAGAGCGAAATGCTCAAAGGAAAAAAAGAAAAATTTCAAGAATTGTTCTCTCTTCTTTGTGTGTGTCCCTTTGGGCGGTGTGAGGCTTCCAATCATCTTGAGTCTGTGATGAATTCAGAACCTCACTAGTGTACAATGTTCTCATCCCAATCATTCAGTTCCATTTCTGCCCCTGAGATTTGAGGGAACTGTGATTGGATGTGGGATTCAAGTTAAGGTATAACCAAAAATGCTTTCTAATTGTTTTCAGTATTCTGACACTGCAGGAGAATTGGGGAATCATTTGTATAATCCTGTATTTAGTGTTCTCTTCATCTACAGAGCACAGTACTGTGTGAGAGATCCAGGAGCTTCCTGAACAATCTTTCTCATGTGCAGGCTCACTGATCACCCAGATCTGCTCACCTGTGCAGCAGAACAGAGGGGCCTGGAAGGAGAGAGGAGACAGTGGCTAAGGATGCAGGTATGGTGGAGGGATTGGTGAAAGAGGGAGAAGGGATGGAGTGAGTGGGGAAATGGGACCGGAAACCAGTTCAGCCACATTCTGTTTCACTGGAAAGAATTCTAGAGACTTAAACACTGAGAAAGGTCCCCTCACCTTGTTAAAGGTAGGAGAAGGGGTTCTAAGTCAGAATTGGCCCTGGGAAGCAAATCAAATTGAATTTCGCTCAGCATGTGAGTGATGCTGTCATTCACACCTCATCCTATATTAATTAGTCCCCATGTCAGATTTTAATACATTATGAAATCATGAAAAATAATAGCTCTAGGTCTATTTATTGTGTTTAGAATTTTTTGCGCTTTGGTGCCTGTCGATGGCGGCACTCGCCTTTAATCCAGCACTCGTGAGGCAGAGGCAGGTGGATCTCTGTGAGTTCGAGGCCAGCCTGGTTTACAAAGCCACACAGAGAAACCCTGTCTCGGAAAAAACAAAAAAAGAAGAAGAAGAATTTTTGAGCTTTGGTATTCTAGCACATTTTGTACCTTTTAGTGTTTTTTTTCTCCATTCCTGAAAATAATGCCAACAGAGTTTTGACAACAGTAGAAGTAAACTGGGCGGTGGTACACGCCTTTAATCCCAGCACTTGGGAGACAGGAGGATCTCTTGAGTCTAGAGAGTGAGTTCCAGATCAGTCAGGGCTACACAGAGAAACCCTGTCTCAAAAAATCAGATATACATATTTGTATACACATACATACATACATACATACATACATACATACATACATACTGGTCAGGGGTCCTAGTGCACACCTTTAATCCCAGCTCTAGGGAGGTGGAGACAGAAATGGGCAGGTGGAGACAGGATCTCAACCCCACTCTGAATATTCTGTATATTAAATTTACATTATCTTACCACCTACAATGTAGGGCTTTTAATATGTACATATTGGCTAGTTTAACTGCTGTTGAACATGATATGTTCCTTTGTAGATTTTTTTTTTATACATTCTGGGTTTTTATCCATTGTAGTATAAATGGGTAGCTAATAAATGTATATGCTGTGTAGGCTGTCTCTCCATACTTTTTTTTTTTTAGAAATTTTTTATTGAAGATTTCTTTATTTATTATGCATTCACACACCACAAGAGGGCATCAAATCCCATTATGATGGGTGGTTGCTGGGAATTGTACTCTGGACCTCTGGAAGAACAGCTAGTGCTCTTCACCCCTGAGCCATCTCTCCAGCCGATCTCTTCATACCTTTAATTGTTACCATTTCTCTGGATGCTTTTTAATTTTACACAGTAATATTTGTCTGTGCCTACTGTGGCCAAGCGTTGTCCGGTTGTGTCACGCTTTCAGATCATAGGTGAAAGTCTGTGATTCCTTGCATGGTAGGAGAGATTTGAAACTAAGTTCATGTTTTTATATGCGGATAGATACTTTTCCCAACACCCGTGTTTGAAGAAGCTGTCTAGTATGCAACACATGTGTTATGATAAATCTTTCCGCCACCCACCTGAGTTCTGCCCGCCGAGTTAGGGCCCCAATTAGAGTTAGGGCCCCAATTAATGCACAGAGACTTATATTAGGTACGAATGCTGCTTGGCCAATGACTAGGATTTCTCATCTGCTCACTCAGTCTTAATTATCATAAATCTATATATTTTATAAGACTTATCTTATTGGACGCCTTCCTTTGGCGTCCTCATCCCCAGGATCACATGGTGGCTCCAAGCAGAGAGCAGGAGGAAGAGCAAAGGGGAAAAGGAACCACTTCCTGCTTGTCCTTGCTTAAATATGAGTCTCCCTGCTATGTCACTTCCTGCCTGGATCACCACTTTTTTACTACATTTCCCAGAATCCTCCTTGACTCCTAGTCCCACCTAACTTGCTGCCTCATTGGCCAAACACTACTTTATTCAACAATCAATAAGATGAACATACACAGAAGTACATTCCCCATCACACATGTTTGTGGTACTTTGATGACATTGATGGGATCATAGCTATTGGAAGGGTTCTGGATCTGCTGCTGTCTTACATTGGGCTGTTTGTCTTTCCCATTCCCATGGTGCTGTTGGTGGCTCTGCAATGTGATTTGGAATCACACTGGGATATCTAGGGCATTGGATCATTTTCTTTGGGCTGCTCTGTATCCAAAGAATTAGTTCATCAATACAGTTTCTACATTTTTCGTTACTATTTCTGTGATGTATATTATGGGAAGTTTAAATGTCATGTTTGAAGTCCAAAAATACTGCAAATATAAAAATTATGTCCCCTTCCTTTTGTGTAAATGATCTTTTTTTTTGAGACGGGGTTTCTCTTTGTAGCTTTGGAGCCCATCCTGGAGGCCTAGTGAGCATTCTTCCTTCCATGTTAGCATGTCTCTTGATGTTGTCCTTTTTCTGCTCATGTTTAGGCAGCCATGTTTGTAAGATTTCATGCATGTAGCGTCTCTGACATTTCTAGGAGACACAATGTCACAGCAAACATCCTGTTCCTCTGGCTCTTACAATACCCTCCCATCCCCCTTCTCAGTGATCCCTGAGCTGAGGTGAAGGAGTTGTGTTGTTTATGTGTCAGTGGGGACTGAGCATCACAAGTCTGCATTTTGATTGATTGCAGTTTTCTGCAACAATCTCTATGTGTTGCTAAAATAACCTTCCTTGATAAAGGGTGAGGACTACATTCATCTGTGAGAATAAGGGTAAATATTTAGAATGCAGATAGGGATTAGACTGATTTAGTAAAGTAGTAGTTGTAGATCCCCTTCTAAGATCCTTGACTTAGGGAAACTGGCTAGGTTTCCTGTACCAGGCATGATTTCCCTGTTGTTGAGAGGGTCTTAATCCAATTAGAAGCCATTGGTTACCACCAAGGTTTGAGTACCACTCTTGCACCCTTAAGGTCATCGTGCAGTGCAGATCATTGTTGTGGTTCACAGGTGTCATAGCTGGGTAGGACTATTGGCTGGCTCCCTCCTTTGGAAGTTTGCACGTTGCCTTCTGGTACCATGAGAGCTAGTCCCCAGGGAGAAGCTTTAAGGTCATAACCATCTCAAGTCTTCTGGATTTTCTTTACAAAGGGCATGGCTTCTTCAACAATAGGGACTCACCTTCTACCTCTCTGAGGCAACCATGGACAACAGCAATAGCCTATAATGACTGAGGAGGATCTTGGACAGCTGTGACCAACAACTTCAAAGCAGGCCTCTCATGCCCGATGTTGGTTGCTTTGTTAGAAAATCTATAGCTCTTTTGAGGCTCATCATCAGCCCAGATGCAGTTCGTTTTCATTCTAAATGTGTATCCATGCAGACTAGATTACGTAATCTAGGCATTTTTTGGTAAATGGATAATGGTGTGACTCCTTGTGATATTTTAGACATCCTTCCTGTTCTTTTACCCTCCTCTGTTTGTATCTGTCCCTTCCCCATAGTTAAATCCCTCCCCCTTGTTTCCATGTCCCCCTTTAGATCACGTGATCCCTGTTACTGCCATCTCTGTTACTTCCCCACACACCACAGTGCTCTCTCTCTTTTTACTCTTGTTGTTGCTGCAGTCACTCCAAGTTGTATACTCACATCTGAAGATTTGGAGCTAGGAATTTCCTATGAGAGAGAACACGCAATGTCTGTTTTTTTCTGGGTCTGAGTTCCCTCACTCAATATGTTCTTATCTGCATCCATCCATTTCCTTGCAAAGCTCATGATTTCAGTTTTCTTTACAGCTGAATCATATTCCATAAGGTGTGTGCACCACACTTTCACTGCCCTTTTGTCAGGTCAAGGACATGCAGATGGTTTCCATTTTGTAGGGATTGTCAATAGAGCAGCAATGTTATGTGGCTGAGCAAGTGTCTCTGCAATAGGATGTTGAGTCCTTTGAGAAAAAGACAAGGAACGGAACAGCTGGGCCACCGTGCTGAATTCATTTAACTTGCGAATTTGCTTATTTCATTGAGGAGTCTCTGTTTTCATTTCCAGAGTGCCTGGATTTTTTTTGTTCATAAAGTTTTTATTCCACATGCTTTTTTTTGTTTTTTGTTTTTGTTTTTTTTTTTTTTTGCTGCTGGTTTTTTTTGTTGCTGGTTGAATTATTGGCAGTATTCCTCTTCCTTCTCTGTGATAATTAGTGCTTTGCTGTCTTGCTCATGGATTACTTCGAAGTTCTCATGTATTTATTTACTCATCTAATGAAATTTATTATTTCCCATGTTCTCATAGATGATTTCCCTGACTCTCCTGTGTATGTTTGGTCTCTAATTTATTATCTGCAGTGCTGCTTTTGTAAAATCAATTTGATTAATTCATGACTTTTAAAACGCACTCGTGCCGAGCGTTGGTAGCGCACGCCTTTAATCCCCGAACTCGGGAGGCAGAGGCAAGCGGATCTCTGTGAGTTCCAGGCCAGCCTGTCCCCAGACGGAGTGCCAGGATAGGCTCCAAAGCTATACAGAGAAACCCTGTCTCGGGGGAAAAAAAAAAAAAAAAAAACGCACTCATGTTTCCATCAATTTTGAGATAGAATTTTTCTTTGCAACAATATTATCGATGTGACGTTCTCTAAGTCTACATATCTTCCCATGCTCTCCTGGCCATTGTATCATGATGTTGTTTCTTGTGTCTTTTCTTGTGGTTTGACATTTCTTTTTCTTTTTGACTCCTTAATATGAAAGGTCAGCAAGCCATGATAGTCATTGTTCCTGAAAGAGAAACTCATAAAAGAGAAACGGAAAGAAATGTCTGATTCTATGGTCAACATGCCCCAGGTCAGTAGTCATGTCTCCTTTATTTATGGAAATGTTATAGTTTGAGATATTGGAAGTCTTTCATTTTCTGCTTCTGACTTTTTTTAACTTTCTCATTTAAAATGTTTTGAATATTCAAAAATATCACATCCTGAAATTTACCAGACCCAAAGCCTATACAACTCAAAGTGCTTTTATACAGTTAATCATTGGGAACAGAAGCTCTGGAGCCTCACATGGAACTTTATAGTTTTAATATCCAATTGTTTGGGGTTTTTTTGGGTTTTTTTGTTTTTTGTTTTTTGTTTTGGTTTTTTGAGACAGGGTTTCTCTGTGGCTTTGGAGGCTGTCCTGGAACTAGCTCTTGTAGACCAGGCTGATTTCAAACTCACAGAGATCCACCTGCCTTTCCCTCCTGAGTGCTGGGATTAAAGAAATGCTTGGCACCACCACTGCCATTGTGTATCTGGTTTTAAATGAGGTTTTGATTCATTTTGAATGGTTTTGGGGGGTTTTTTTGGGGAGGGGTTGAGACAAGGTCTCTCTGTACCTTTTGGAGCCTTACCTGGGACTCACTCTATAGAACCAGGTTGACCAGGAACTCACAGAGATCCACCCGTCTCTGCCTCCCAAGGGCAGGGATTAAAAACGTGTGCCACTACCACCCAGCATAATCATTTATTTATTCTTACTTCATGTGCATTGGTGTTTTGCCTGCATGTATGTCTGTGTGAGGATGTCAGATCTTGGAATTAGACAGTTGTGAGCCACTAGGTGGGTGCTGGGAATTGAACCAGGGTCCTGGAAGAGCAGTCAGTGCTCTTAACTACTGAACCATCTCTCCAGCCCCTTGGATGGATTTTTATAATGTGAAAGATAAGAATCTAATATAATTCTCAGAATTTAATATAATCATTTTCTCGAAGGAAATCTATGTCACTCCCAAAAGCACTCACAGTTCCTACACTTACATGTACATGCTGAACTGTAACTTACATGTACCTGCTGAGCTGTAACTTAAACATTATTTGATGTGTTTTTGGGCTACCCTCAATTTTTATAAGTCTTTGTGAGTGAAATATTCTTCAAAACGTCTGAAGTTGTTGTTTGTGTGAGTCAGCTTCTGACTATTTTTAGAAAAAATTGGATTCTATGAAATGTGGCTAATGCTGACTTTTCTCACTGCTTGGAAGTGGCCCAGTATTGTCAGGAAATTAATTCTACAGACTATTTGATCTTGTATATTAACATTAAAATTTGTAGTACCCAGTGTCACACTCAATGTTACTGTGGGAAAAATCCCAAACTCTTTGACTATCCAGAAGTACGGCTCAGTGCTTAGCTATGAATCTCTGCTTCGGCTTCCATCAGCTACTGGGTCAAGGCTCTTCTATGATGGCATTTAATGTAGTCATCAACCTCATCATAGGGGAAGGGCATTTAAGGTAGCCTCTACACTATTACTTAGATTCTTAGTTGGAGTCATCCTTGTGGATCCCTAGACACTTCCCTGATGTCAGATGTTAGAACATTCATTGTACAGTGTGGCTGTATAGAAATCATCTTTTTCAGTGATTGCATCCCCAATTTCCTTAACTCTCCTTATAGCCAGAAAAGCATCCTGCCTAGTGTCACGTGATCAAGCTCTGCCTTTTGTTTCAGGACCTATCAACATTCAGGGATGTGACTGTGGACATCTCCCAAAAGGAGAAGGAATGCTTGGGCTCTGCTCAGAGGGCTTTGTACATTGATGTGATGTTAGAGAATTACAACAACCTAGTCTCTGTAGGTGAGAACATTTTGCTTATAGAATTCCTAACTCAAGCTTTGTATGGACAAACTTTATAGATTGTGAACTCTCTGTTAGGCTGTCTTGGAAACAGCAAGAGACTAGGGAGTGCATGGTAGTAAAAGCGTTCTTTTTCTTGGTATTTGGTATTGTTTTTGCTTTTACGTTTTTCATTTTAGAGCTGTCATGTACCCTTCATGTTAGTTCCACATGTATTCAGAAACTAAGTAGCACATAGTATTTGCACCCCTATCTTTAAAAGCACACTGCCATTACACCTAACATTATTTTTTGTTTTGTTTTGTTTTTTTCCGAGACAGGGTTTCTCTGTGGCTTTGGAGGCTGCCCTGGAAGTAGCTCTTGTAGACCAGGCTGGTCTCGAACTCACAGAGATACACCTCGAATGCTGGGATTCGAATGCCCATCCTGACATTGTTTTAACTGTGAGAAAAATTAAGATGTGGGAACTTAAAATCTCCCTCAATACATTAAAGATTCTGATAGGAAATAGAAATTGGGAAATCATTCCTGTATTCTTTTATATTCTCTTCATGTAATGAGCTCAGTACTGTGTTAGATATCTGTATTTTTTCTAAAAATTCTAGCATGGATCATGGGCTACCTCCCAGAACACATGTATTATTATATGCAAGGCACCTGTCTGAAGCAAATAAGATTGTTCTGGAATGTGGAGAGGAGAGAGTAGCTGCAACCAGGGTGGGCTACTGAATGAGCAGGACAACAATGAGAGAGAAAGCAAGAGCTGAGAATGTTGTTTTGCTTTATTCAATTCCAATTGAAAGAATTTCTGATCATTTAAATTAGTGTAGTGTCCTGGCCCCAGGATGCATGTGGCCTGTGGAAAATGTTAGAAGACATTGTGCCTTATTGCACATGAATTCTGGTGACAGTGCTTGTACAAAAATGCAATTTTGTTTCAGTATGTTGAAATTAGATTGGAATAATTTTACCAATTATAGGCCTAATGTGAAGTAGGATTGTTATGTATTTGCCTACCTGCATGTATGTCAATGGTGGATTGAAATAAGCAGTAGCTTTTTGTGATAGCCCTGCCTCAAATGGTCTTGAGCACCAGTTGTCAGTGTTGGTAATGTGACAACCCTGTAATCCATTTGCTGTCGTTGTGGTGACCCCCAACCATAAAATTCTTTTGAGTGCTACTTCTTGACAAATTTTGCTACTAAGTGAAGTCTCAGTTCCTAAGGTCATCGGAAATATGTGTTTTATAGATGGTCACAACCCACAGGCTGAGAACTGATGATCTAGAGCCTCAGACATCTGGCAGAATCCTTGATTTTGCATCCATTACTTTTGAAGAATCTTAAGTGAATTATTTTTTTTGGGGGGGGACCTTTTGTTTTCAGTAAGCCTTTGATCTTAAAAGGCATTGGGTCTTCTGAACTATAATCTTCATCGCTGTTCATTAGTAAGTACAAAAACTGTACCTGGGATTGGATTATATTCTTCTTCAACAATTTCTGAGAAAAAAAAAAGTTTAAAAGTACAGAAATGTATTCTGAATATATTCAGTCAGCGATTATTTGTTTCCAGTTACTTGAAGGCTATCACTCTATTTTTGTGACAATCATATAATGATAGTGAAAGGATAAGGTTAACTATTGTGAGCTCTATTCTAAGTTGTTGCTGGTTAAATTATCTTAAGAAAGAACTTAGGCAGAAAGTCATTTATCAAATGTTTATTGTTGGAACAAGCCCTATTAATCTGAATTTTTCTCATTTTCAGAGAACTATTGCAAATGTGATCCTGTCCATCACCATGTGAAGACTGAAACGGAGTCTTGTCAGTGTAATGAGCTTGGCAAAGTGCTTCATGACCCCTCCTCATGTGCACTTTATAGAACAAGTGAACCTACAGAAAACTCCAATAACTACACATGCAGTAATCCCAGGGATGCCTCTGTTGACTCATCAAACCCAGACAGACATGAAAGCATGCACACTAGAGAAGAAGCTTGCCAATCTAAAAACTGTGAGAGACCTTTAAATTTGTGTTCCAACATGACTCAAGATCAGAGAGTCTACACTGCAAAGAAAGACCACAGGCAGAGAGACTATGATGACTATTTCACCTCTGCGTACAGACTCATGCAGCAAACAATCTGTATTAGAGAGAAGCAACACCAGTGTAAGGAATGTGGAAAATCCTTCAGTACTGCCTCAAACCTCAGTGTACATCGGAGAATTCATACTGGAAAGAAACCCTACAAGTGCACTTTTTGTGAAAAATCCTTTACCCAGCGTTCAACCCTTAAAATCCATCAAAGGCTTCATACTGGGGAGAAACCTTACAAATGCAAAGAATGTGGAAAGTCTTTTCGTCAGTTGTCAGGATTTAAGAGCCATCAGAAATTGCATACTGGAGAGAAGCCTTATAAAGGCAAAGAATATGGAAAGTCCTTTATTGAAAAGTCAAGTCTTAAAGGGCATTCCAGAATCCATACTGGAGGGAAATGGGAGGTATGTGACAGATCCTCCCCTCTGAACTCAACTCTTAGAGCACATCAGAAAATGAATACCAGAGAGAAACCTTGCAGATGTAGGGAATGGGACAAATCCTTCACCTGTAATTCATGTTTTAGAACACAGCAGAGGGTTCACAGTGGAGAGAGACATTCCAGTAGTAAGGAATGTGACAAGTCTTACTAGGTGCTCCTAACTCAGAGCACGTCAGAAAGTTCATATTGGAGAGAAACATACTATTGTAGATAATGTGACGTAGCAGTTCTCTGGAATTCTCTGCTTACCAGTATACATAATAGAACCATAAAGATAAGACACTTGAATGCCTTTAATGAAGGTCTAAATCTTAGGAAAATATCACAGAGTTTACATTAAAATTAAGCTCTGCAACATAACTGGGAAGTGTTTTGGTTTGGTTTGGTTTGGTTTTGCTTTTTTTTCCCCCTGTGTATGGTGGCATAGCATGCAAATATTTCTGTACACTGCATGTCTGCTTTGTGCCTGAGAAAGCAGAGGCGAGAAGAGGGCATCAGGCCCCCTGAAGATGGATTATCAGAAAATTGTGAGCTGCTAAGTGTGTTGGGACTTGAACCCTCCAATGCTCTTGACCACTAAGCTCTATCTCCTGCCCTTGGAGAATGCTATAATAAAAACATTTATCTTTATCAGCATCCAAAAATTCATAATACTGCCAAGCAAGGTGATGTACACCTTTAATGCAAGCATTTAGGAGAGAGAGATAGGAAGATCTCTTGAGTCACAGGCCATATTGGTCTACATAGTTAGTTTCAGGACAGTCAGGACTACATAAACTGTCCCAGTAACAACAACAAAAAGTCATAATGAGCACAAAACGAATTAACAAAAAAAAAGTGACAAAACACTCTCATTTTGTACATCATAAAACTCGTAGTTCTGAAGAACCATATAAAAATATACCGTGTATATATGAACTCCATGTGTTGCTGTTCATTGTAAATTCCAATCCTAAAACGCATTCATTTGGGTAAATCCTTTCCCTGGTTCTGAAATTGTAGACATAAAAAGAATTCATCATGAAAGAAACAAGAAAATGCTCTAATAAAGCTTCCCCTTTTGTTTACCATAAGAATCTTCATTCTAGAGTCGAACCTTAAAAGTGCAAGAAGGTGAGAAACTGTAAAGGCGTTGGCTGTGCATGTGACATCACAGACATGCTTACATACAGCTTACAAAACCCAAAGGCTTTCTACAGAGAGTGAATGTTACAGACTTGCAGCAGTCTGTTTTCTGTGGGTGAGAAGAGTTTGCTTGCAGTCTCCCTTGCTGCTCCTGAGTGTTTCTTGGCAAATTAACCTGCAAGTGTGTGAGCTTTGTGTGAATGAGTCTCACAGGGTGACAAAGAAAATCTACATGAAATGTTCTCTCTTCTTCCTGTGTGTCCCTTGGGAAGTGAAAGCTTCCATCATCTTGGATCTATGATAAATTCAGAATGTCACTAGGGTATGATATTCTCATCCCAATCATTCAGTTCCATTTCTGCCCCTGAGATTTGATGGAGATTTGATTGGAAGTGGCCTTCCAGTTACACTAACTGAAAATGAATACTTCTAAATATTTTCTGACACTGCATGACAATTGGGGGATCATTTGTATAATCCTGTAGTTAGTGTTCTCTTCATCTGCTGAGCACAGTACTGTGTGAGAAATCCAGGGGTTTCCTGAACAATCTGTTTCTCATGTGCAGGGCTCACTGATCACCCAGACCTACTCACCTGTGCAGCAGAACAGAGGCACCTGGAAGGTGGAGAGAGAGGAGGAGACAGTGGCTAAGGATGCAGGTATGGTGGAGGGATTTTTGAAGAGTTGGAAAGGGGTTCAAATGAATGTGCAAGTGGGACTGGAAATCAGTTTTGCCACATTCTGTTTCACTAGAAATAATTCTAGAAACCTCTACTTCATAAAATCTCATTATCCTGATGTAGAATACCTATAATAGGTGTGAAGCAAAGGTATGTGGAAAGGGATGGTTCTACAAAAGACGTGGTACTGGGAGGCAAATAGAATTTTATGTGAGTATGCGTGTGAGTAACACTGCCCATATTTGTTCACATCACAGATCATGTCTTCATGCCAATATTAAAAGTTTTCATTTCTATTATTTTAACATATTATTTAAAAGGATGAAAATTAATACCTCTAGGTTTATTTATTTTCAGAATTTTTGTGCTTTGTTATTCTACCACATTATCTTAGGTTAATGTCTCCATTCCTGAAAGGGATACCAACAGAATTTTGATAAGAATCAGGAAATATTTACAGATTATTAAACTCAGTCTAAACTGGTTTCCAATGGATGTCTCTTATTGTCTGTGGTCATGACAATTCCATTTGGTTTCAAATGCTGTAATTATAGTATATTGTGAGATCACCTGTAAATTCGATCCTCTTAGTATTTTCTGGCTCTTTGCCATTTCTTGGTATTCTCAGGATTACTTTCTGTAAAATATGGAAATAGGATTGTGATAGGAATTGCTTGGAGTCTTAGAGAAGACAGCCCTTCTTCTAGGTTGTCTTGTGTTTGAAAAGAACATGAAGCAACAGGTCAGTTTTCACCTTTGTTTTTTTAAAGATTTATTTATTTTATACACAGTGTTCTGCCTGCAAGTATGTCTGCAGGTCAGAAGAGGGCACCAATGTTTTTTTCTTTTTTTTATTTAAAGTCTTTAATTACTACTCATATTTACATATCCATCCCCCCATTCCCTCGACCTCTTATCCTCCCATGTTCCCCACCAACCCCACCCCCAACCCACTCCCCAACTCATCCCCAGGGATAGTGAGGCCCTCCACCAGGGACCTTCAAAGTCAGTCATATCATCTGGGGGAGGGCCAAGGACCTCCTTGCTGTATCTGGACTGCAATAGTATCCCTTCTTAGGGAATAGAGTCCCAAAGTCCATTTGTGCTCTGGGGATAAAGACTGGCTCCACTGTTAGAGTCCCATAGACTGTCTTGGCCTCCTAGCTGGCACCCACATTCAGAGGGCCTGGTTTGGTCCAATGCTGTTTCTGCAGCTTTATTACTAGGGTCTCCATGCTGTCAGTAGGTCAGGTCAACTGTTTCTGCAGGTTTCTGCAGCACCGTCTTGGCTCCTTTGCTCATCCCTCCTCCCTCTCCACAACTGGATTCCAGAAGTATGGTTCAGGGGCACCAGATCTTAACCAATGGTTGTGAGCCACCATGTGGTTGCTGGGAATTGAACTCTGTCCCTTCTCCATCCCTCCCCATTTTTCCATTTCTGCCGGCAGATCATTTATTCCCTGTTACTCCATCTCTGCTGCTCCTGCACACCCCACCGTCATCTGTTGTTACTTTTCTGGTTACTGCAGTCACTCCAGGTTGTAGACTCAAATGTAAAGATTTGGAGCTAGGAACTTCCTATGAGAGAGATCATGCAATGTCTGTCTTTCTTGTTCGGGTTAACTCATTCAGTATGTTCTTTTCTACATCCATCCATTTATTTGCAAAGCTCGTGATTTCAGGTTTTTTTTTTTTTTTACAGCTGAATCATATTCCATAGTGTAAATGTACCACATTTTCACTATCAATTTGTCACTTGGAGGACCTTTAGGTAGGTTACTTTTTATAGCTATTGTGAGTAAAGCAGTGATTAACATTGCCAAGGACACATCTGTGGAGTAGGATGTTGAGTCCTTTGACCATATACCAAGGAATGGAACAGCTAGGTTATATGCTGAATTTATTTAACTTGAGAGTTTGTTTATTTAATTGAGGATTTTTCATATTGATTTCCAGAGTGGCTAGATATTTTGTTGCTAGGGTTTTTACTCACTATCCCTTTGTTTTTGGTGTTGTGACAGGTTGGGTTATTGGGGTTGCTTTTTTTTTTCATTCTGTATGAGAATTAGTGGTTTGCCATCTTCCCATTTCTCCTATGTTTATCTATTCTTCAAATGAAATTCATTATTTCCCATGTTATAATGTATAATTCCTCTGATTCTCCTGTGTAAATATTTTCTCAAATTTATTATGTGCTTGCTGCTTTGGGGAATAAGATTGTCCAATGTTAATTCATGACTGTCTTCAAATGCACGTAAGTCTCCATCAATTTTAAGAGAGGATTATTCTGGGTGCAACAACATGTATGGTTGACAGTGAATTTTCTCCATAAATTTTAAATATGGTTCCATGCTTCCTTGGCTTTGGAACCACTGACCAGGTACCTAGTAATATTCTGTTTCTTGGGTGTTTCCATGTCATTTGACATTGTTATTTGAAAGCCTTCCTTACTAATTTTTGCTTTTCCCTTTTAACTCCTTTATATGAAAGGGCAGCAAGACATCAATTTAGCAAGCCGTCTATTGTTCCTGAAAGAGAAACTCAACCAAGAGAAACAACATGAAATGGCTGATTCTACAGGACATACGTCCCAGGTCATTGGTCATGTCAGTTATGTTTTCTGGAAATGTTTTATTTGGAGGCATTGAGAGCCTTTAATTTTGTGCTTCTGGTACTTTTTAGAGTAGTCATTGTGAACAGAAGCTCTGGAGCCTCATGTGAGATTTTATATTTTCACTCCTGAATATATTTTGTTGTGATTATCTACTACCCAAAACCAAAGGGGAAAAAAATGACAGAATTAGAAGTAAAAAAACCATTTAGCTTTATATCCTTTTTCATAGCTGGTGCTCGTTATCTGCATTGAGTCCTTCCTCAACCTTGGTTTTTGTCTTTTTCTTTTTTTTTAAATTTTACTTTTTATTTGAATTAGAAACAAGATTGTTTTACATGTCAATCCCAGTTCGCTCTTCCTCCCCTCCTCCCCTCCTAATTAAAACCCTACCTATCACATATCCTTTCTGCTCCCCAGGGAGGGTTAACCCTTCCACAGGGGGTCATCAGAGTCTGTCATATTCTTTGGGATAGGGCCTAGGCCCTCCCCCATGTGTCTTGGCTCAGGGAGTATCCCTCTATGTGGAATGGGCTCCCAAAGACCACACCTATGCTAGGGATAAGTACTGAACTACTACAGGAGGTCCCATAGATATCTGAGGTTTCCTCACTGAAACCCACGTTCCTGGGGTCTGGATCAGTCCCATGCTGGTTTCCCAGCTATCAGTCTTGGAACCAAGAGCTTCCTTTTGTTCAGGTCAGCTGTTTCTGTGGGTTTCACCAGCCTGGTCTGGACCCCTTAGCTCATCACTCATCCTTCTCTGCAAGTGGATTCCAGTTCACTTCAGTGAATACCTGTGGGTGTCTGCTTCTACTTCCACCAGCTGCGGGATGAAGGCTCTAGGATGGCATATAAGTCAGTCATCAATCTTTTTATTTCTTCCTCAACCCAGGAATTGTGCAATTGGGCGTTATTTGATTTCCATGTGTTTGGAGGTTTTCTGCGATTCATGTTGTTGTTGAATTCTAACTTTAAAGCATGGTGGTCTGATAAGATACAGGGGGTTATTTAATTTTCTTGTACCTGTTGAGGTTTGCTATATTACCAGTTATGTGGTCAGAGAAGGTTCCATGTGGCGCTGAGAAGAAGGTATATTCTTCTGTGTTTGGATGGAATGTTCTACAGATGTCTGTTAAGCCCAATTGGGCCATAACTTCTATTATTTGCTTTGTTTCTTTGTTAAGGTTCTGTCTGGTGTTCCTGTCCAGTGGTGAGAGTGGGGTGTTGAAGTCTTCTCTTCTGCTATAAGTGTGTGTGGTTTTATGTGTGATTTGAGTTTTAGTAATGTTTCTTTTACAAACGTGAATGCCTTTGTATTGGGGGCATAAATGTTCAGAAATGAGATTTCGTCCTGATAGATTTCTCCTGTGATGAGTAAGAAGTGACCTCCTTCATTTCTTTTGATTGATTTTAGTTTAAAGTCCAATTTGTTGGATATTAGGATTGCTACCCCGACTTGTTTCTTGGGTCCATTTGATTAGAAAATCTTTTCCCAACCTTTGATTCTTAGAAGTTGAGGTGTGTTTTTGTATGCAGCAGAAGGATGGATTCTGTCTTCTTATCCATTCTGCTATCCTGTGTCTTTTTATAGGCGAGTTAAGATGATTAATATTGAGAGATATTAATGGCCATTGATTGTTCATATTGTTCATTCTTTTTTTTTTTTTTGGATTTGGTGGTGGTAGTAAAATTATGTGTGGGCTTCCATCCTATTTTTCTTTTGGCTGTTGGTAAAGTGGGATTATCTGTTGCCTATATTTTTCTGGTTGTAGTTCACTTCCTTAGGTTGCAGTTTTCCTTCCAGAACTTTCTGTAGGGCTGGAATGGTGGATATCTATTGTTTGTATCTGGTTTTGTCATGAATATCTTGTTTTCTTCATCTATATTGATTGAAAGCTTTGCTGGGTATAGTTGTCTGGGCTGGAATCCATGGTCTCTTAGTATAGATAGAATATCTATCCAGGACCTTCTGGCTTTCAGAGTTTCCATGGAAAAGTCAGGTGTAATTCTGATAGGTTTGCCTTCATATGTTACTTGACCCTTTTCCTTTGCTGCTCTTAATATTTTCTCTTTATTCTGTATGTTTGGGGTATTGATTATTATGTGGTGATCTGTAGGCTTGTTATTAACCTTTCTTGTTCTCTTTTCTCTATGTTCTACTGTGGCCACATATGCATTGGTTCCATAAACACAAAGCATGGGCTACATTCTGCCTATGAGGGAAGACATGATTTCTGACACTGTATGGCCTCTCTTTATATTGCACATTCTAAATCCATACATTCTCCTTCACATTTTATTATGTTTTTCTCTTTAGCTGACTATCCATTCATTATTCTGTTTTCATTACCCTTTCATTTGCTGCTGGGTGTTCAGTTTGATTCTAGTACTTTGCTCTGCTGAATAGGCAGCAGTAAACATGGGAGTAAATGTCGCTATAGTGGACTGTGAAGTTTTCTGGGTATACGCCCTGGAGTGAAAGGCCTAGAGTCATATTTAGTTCTATCTGTAAGTTTTGAATAATCTTCATGCTGATTTCCATTTGAGTTCATTAATCTGTTTCCCCACTCACATATGCAGCAAAACAGCGGTTTATAAGTGTTCCTTTCTTGTCATCCTCTCTAACATTTGTGGTCAGATTGGTTGATGACAGTCATTCTTCCAGGGATGAGGCGGTATATCAAAATATTATTAGTTTACATTTCCACTATGGCACTTTAGGAATCCTGACCACGTTTTGCAAAATTTACAAGCCATTTGTTTCTGTCTTTGTAAAAGTATCTATTCACTTCATTTCCCCATTTGTTGATTGGCAGTTTCATGCATGTCCTTGGAATTTAATTCGTGTAATTCTCAGTGAATTCTAGGTATGAGCTGCTATTCAAAGTGTCGCTGGTACAGATTGTCTCCCATTCTGGTGGTGTCTGTGTGCTCTGCTGACTGTTTCCATTGACAAGCAGAAACTGTATTTTCATGTAGTCCCATGTGTTGATGCTTTGGTCAGTTTCTGTGCTGTTGGTGTTCTTTCTAATCCAGAAGTCATTGTCCATCCCAGTGTCCTCCTGAGTAGTCCCTATGTCTTGTAGTTTCTCTGTTTCTGGTTTTTAGTAAGGTTTTGAGTCATTGTAGCATTATCTGTAGGTACAGTATTTAAAAGCACATTTCCTCATCACATATTTTCCTTCTGAGACATATACACTCTTATCCCTCATGACACAAACACAGCATTCATAACAGACAGACATGTCCAGACCTCAATTGTATTTCTTGCATTATGTATATTTCTTGTCAGAATATTGTGTCATCTTATTTTCACAGGATTAGAACATTCATTATAGAGTGTGACTGTGTTAGAAATCATTGTTTTGAGTAATGGTCTTCACTCATCAACATCCCTAATTGCTTAAATCTCCTTATTGTCCAAAATGAACTCTTTCCAGTAAAACTGTATTTTTTGTTTCAGGGTCTGTTGACATTCAGGGAAGTGACTGTGGACTTCTCCCAGGAGGAGTGGGAACTCATGGACTCTGCTCAGAGGGCTCTGTACATTGATGTGATGCTGGAGAATTATAACAACCTTGTCTTTGTGGGTGAGAACGTTTGGCTTGTACTGACTCAAAGGTTGTGAACTCTGTTAAACTATCAGGAAAATGAGAGGAATCAAGGCAAAGTTTGGTAGTAGGAAAGAACTTTTTCATGGTATCTGAAAAAGAAAAATAAGCCCTTTTATATTAAATGGCCTTTAATATTAAAATGAACAGTACTCTGGCCAGGTGGTGGTGGCGCACGCCTTTAATCCCAGCACTCGGGAGGCAGAGGCAGGTGGATCTCTGTGAGTTCAAGACCAGCGGGGTCTACAAGAGCTAGTTCCAGGTCAGCCTCCAAAGCCACAGAGAAACCCTGTCTCAAAAAACCAAAAAAAAAAATAAAATAAAATAAAATAGAATAAAATGAACAGTACTCTTCATGGTTGTTCATTAGTAGGTACAAACACTGTGAACCTGGGATGGCATTAAGCTCTTTCTTCTCCATCAATTTCTGAGAAAAAAAAACATAAAAATAGAAACGTATTCTAAATATAATCAATGACTGAACACCATCTCAAAGCTAAGTACTGATTCTCTAATCATTTGTTTCATCTCCCTCAAAGGTTATTACTGCTTTTTGTGAAAATCCATATAATTAAAGTGAAAGAAAAAGTTCAACTACTACGAGCTTTATTCAGAATAGTTGCTGGTGACTTATATTATGAGAGAACTTAGGGAGACAGTCATTTATCAAATGTTTAATCTTGGGGCAAGCCCTATTAATATGACTTCTACTCATTTTCAGGGAACTATTGCAAATCCGATCCTGTCCATCAGCATGTGAAGACTGAAAAGGAGTCTTGTCAGTGTAATGAGCTTGGCAAAGTCCTTCATGACCCCTCCACATGTGCACTTTATAGAACAAGTGAAACTACAGAAAACTCCAATGACTACACATGCAGTAATCACAGGGATGCCTCTGTTGACTCATCAAACCCAGACAGACATGAAAGCATGCACACTGGAGAAGGAACTTGCCGATCTACAGACTGTGAGAGACCTTTAAATTTGTGTTTCAACATTACTCAAGATCTAAGACTGTACACTGCAAAGAAAGAGCACAGGCAGGGAGAATATGATGACTATTTCAGCTCTACATTTGATCTTTGGCAACAATCAATCTACATAGGAAGAAAACCACACCAGTTTGGTAAATTTGATAAATGCTTCAATACCACCTCAAGCCTCACTTTACATCAGAGAATTCATAGCGGAGAAAAACCCTATAAGTGTAGTGTTTGTGACAAATCCTTTACCTGGTTCTCAAATCTTGAAAGACATCAGAGAGTTCATACTGGAGAAAAGCCTTATAAATGTGGGGTGTGTGGCAAATCCTTTAATGTGAACTCAAGTCTTGAAAGACATCAGAGAGTTCATACTGGAGAAAAGCCTTATAAATGTGGAGTATGTGGCAAATCCTTTAATGTGAACTCAAGTCTTAAAATGCATCAGAAAACTCACACTGGGGAGAAACCTTACAAATGTAGGGAATGTGACAAATCCTTTACCCAGAATGCACATCTTAAAAGACATCAGAGAGTTCATACTGGAGAGAAACCTTACAGATGTCAGGAATGTGACAAGTCTTTTACTAAGTGCTCAACTCTTCAAGCACATCAGAAAATTCATACTAAAGAGAAAACCTATAAATGCAAAGCCTGTGACATATCCTTTACCCAGTATTCAAATCTAAGAAAACACCAAAGAGTTCATCCTAAAGAGAGACCTTACTTCTGTAAGGAATGTGGCAAATTTTTTACTAGCAACTCGTATCTTAAAATACATCAGAAAATTCATACTGGAGAGAAACCTTACAAATGCAAAGAGTGTGGCAAATCCTTCACCCAATGTTCAACTCTTAGAGCACATTACAGAGTTCATACTCGAGAAAGACCTTGCATGTGTAAGGAATGTGGCAAATCTTTTACTAAGTCCTCAATTCTTCGAGCACATCAGAAAATTCATACTGAAGAGAAAAATACTGATGTAAACAAAATGACATAGCACTATTATCTTGTGTTCTCTGCTTATAAATCGTAACAGTATACATAAAAGAAACAAAGATTAGAAACTTGTAAAAGCCTTTAAAGGTTTAAATCTTGAAAAGTATCAGAGTTTGTATTAAATTAAAATTCTGCAATTCTGTGTGAAAATCTTTTTAAAAAAAACATCTGACTGCTTGTGTGTCTGTACATTATATGTATGCTTCCTGCCTGTGGAATCCAAAAGAGAGTATCAGATCCTCTCAAGCTGGAGGTAAAGGCAATTGTGAGCTGCTGAATGTGCTGGCAACTGACACCTGGCTCTCTAGAAGAGCAGGCAGTACTCTGAACCACAAAACCACCCATGGGAAAAACTATAATAAAAACATTTATCTTGTTCAATATCCTAAATTTCATAGTAATGCCAGGCATGATGATTGTAGTGCTTCGAAAGAAAATGATCACCAAAGGTTGTGGCACTCTTAGGTAGTATGGCTTTGTTGGAGTAGGTGTGGTCTCTTTGGAGGAAGTGTCACTATGGAGGTTGTCTTTGAGGTCTCATTTGCTCAAAATACCACCCAGTGTCTGAGTCCACTTCCTTTTGCCTTTGGATCAAGATCTAAGGACACTCACCTCCAGGACCACCTCTGACTGCATGCTGCCTTGCTTCTCCCCATGACGATAATGGACTAAAGCTCAGAACTATTAAGTGAGCCATCCTTATTAAATGCGTCCCTTTGTAAGAGTTGCCATGGTTATAGGGTCTCTTAACAGCAATAGAAACCCTAAGATAGAAGTTGGGCCCAGGCACTTTGGTATTGATGGGAGAGGCCTGAGTATGTTTTTGTTTGAAGGAATATAGACCTCAGGACTGTGGGCTGGGAAAACAGTTATCTGCTTGAAGTGCTGACTAATGGAGCATCCTACTAGAAGCATGGAAGTCAGTGGTACTGTGGAAAAGAGTGTTAGTGTGGGGCCTAGAGATTGTTCTGGTGATATTTTGGTGAAGAATAAGGATGCCTTTTGCCCTTGTCCAAAGGGTCTGCCTAGGGGTAAACGAGTTTTGATTAATTCTGTTGGCAGGAGAAATCTCAAAACAGCCTAGTATTGACTCTGTCTTGTGGTTGTTAATGGTAACTGTACTGAAGATTTATAAAAGGATCAAGCTGGACAAGAAAGAAAAAAATACAGGATGTAGGACAATTTGAGAAAAGCAGTACCTGGTATGGATTTAAATTTTGTGTCCAGGGAGATAAACAGCTTAAGAAATGGAACAAAGGGAGCGGTGACCTCAGGGCAAGATCCCACCCAGATAAGTTTCTAACTTGTGAAAAGGGATTAAAGAAGAGCTTGGAGCCAGTTATAGTGATGCACGCCTTTAATCCCAGCACAGGGATGGCAGAGGCAGGCAGATCTCTGAGTTTGATGCCAGCCTGGTCTACAGGGCAAGTTCCAGAAGAGCCACCCTTAGGCAGTGAAGAAAACTATGAAATACAGAAAGCTGGTAAAGACATAATTTAAAGACCCGGACATGTTCCAGCCCCAGTAAGCAAGAGAATGAGGCACATTTACCCTAGTAGTTCTGGCTTCAAGGGTAGAAGAAAGTTGTGGAAACCTCCTCTACTGAGGAAAGCTACTGAGGCCAGGCCGTGTCGGGGGCGTCCCTGAATGGAGGACCAGAGAGGTAATTGTGTGAAGCTGTAAAGGAGAAGCTTGGATTGCCATGGAGACCCTAAGATGTTAGAGATGCCAGAGTCATGTGATACCTGCTGAGGAAAGCTGCCAACAGGGAGTGGAACCATCCCAAGAGAAAGAAGTGTGTTGCAGTTAACAAAACTGCAGGGAGTTGGAGCTCTGAAGAGCATTTTGACATCAGATGTGGAAATGCAGAGTTTAGAGTTTGATCTTGTTTTGGTCCAGTATTTCCTTACTATGCTCCCTTCTCTGTGTTTTAGAATGACACGACATGCTCCGTGCCATTATATGTTGGAAATATTTGATCTGTTTTTTTTTTTTTTATTTTCATTGTATAGGGGATCACAGTGAAAGAGATTACATGACTCGCAGAAGAAACTTTGGACTTTTAAACATTGTTTTTGAGATTGTGATCGACTTTGGGGTCTTTTGAAGATGCGCTGGATGAATTTTTCCATTATGATATAGCTATAAGCCTTTGGGGGCCAAAGAGTGGAATGTGGTATTTTGAAGGAAAATGGCCCCTAAAGTGAGTGTGACTTTTAGGAGGTGTGGCCTTGTTGGAGTAGGTGTGGCCTGTTGGCAGAAGGGTGTCACTGGGGTGGTGAGCTTTGAAGTCTTTTGTGCAAGCCATACCCAATAAGATCATTCACTCCTGTTGCCTTTGGATTGTTAAAAGGCAGCTTACTCCATTTTCTTTTAAATTAAACAGATTTTGATCATGTCCTTAGCTAGAGGTTAAGTTTTTTTTTAAGTGGTTCTCCCTCAATAACATTGTGAATTGCACATTGCAAATGGTTTCCATTGTTCTGAGAATTGACTGACCATAAGATGTTTTATGGTATGTTAACTCTCTGACCATCAACCCATAACACGTATCTTTCCCTTGGTCATAAAAATAACTGCAAAATTCTACTTTTTTTTTTTTTTTTTTTTTTTTTTTTTTTTGGTTTTTCAAGACAGGGTTTCTCTGTGGCTTTGGAGGCTGTCCTGGAACTAGCTCTTGTAGACCAGGCTGGTCTTGAACTCAAAGAGATCTGCCTGCCTCTGCCTCCCAAGTGCTGGGATTAAAGGCGTGTGCCACCACTGCCCAGCAAAATTCTACTTTTAATAATTTGCTTGCTTGGTATAAAGAGACTACTCTGCCTTTATTTTTTTAATTTATTTAACTTTATTTTATGTGCATTAGTGTGAAGGTATCAGATCCCTTGGAACTGGAGTTACAGACAGTTGTAAGCTGCCATGTGGGTGCTTGGAATTGAACTCAGGACCTCTGGAAGAACAGCCAGTGATCTTAACCACTGAGCCATCTCTCCAACCCCCTACTCTGCCTTTAATCTAAGCTGTTTTCATTCTCCTACTATGGGAGGCTGAAAATATGGCCTGGCCATTAATAAAATTTTGCCTTGCTATATCTTGGTGTTAGGTCCTGGTTTTTGACTCTATAACAGGATCAAGATCTAAGGACTTTCCCCTCCAATACCAACTGTGCTTGCATGCTGCCTTGCTTCCTGCCATGATGAAAATGGACTAAACCTCTGAACTGTAAGTGACCCACCCTAATTAAATGTGATGCTCACCTTTAATCCCAGCAGCTAGAAGAAGCTTGTTGCTGCTGGGATTAAAGGTGTGTATCACCACTGCCTGATCTCTATAGCTTGAGGTTGATTTTGCTTTCTGAATCCTCAGGAAAGCTTTAATAAATAATAAATAATATGTCACTGTATTTCCAGGCACCGGATAGATAAGAAGCATACTGAAATTTGTTTGATCTGCATAAGCAGAAAAGTTCTCAAACATATTTCCTTGCATATGTTATCCCATCCTGTTTGTCAAGTGAATAGAAAGCCACTAGCTTCAAGTGGGGCAGGAAAACAGAGATGGTTCTTCAACAGGTCCAGGCTGCTGTGCGGGATGGTCTAGAACTTGTGCGGCATGATCCAGCAGACCCAATGGTACTTAGGTGTCAGAGGCAGATAGGGATGCTGTTTTGAGCCTTGGGCAGGTCCCTAGAGACGAGTCACAGATGAGACCATTGGGATTTTGGAGTAGGCTTTACCACCATCTGCAGACAACTATTCTTTCTGCCTTTGGAAAACAGTCCTTGGAGCCAGAAGAACAGGTAAGAGGACTATTTACCCTGGTAACCCCACCTGCCCCCTGTTAGTATCTGAAAGATGGAAGCTGTTGATGCTCTGCCAACCTCACCCCGACCCCTGCTGCCCTGCCCCCACACTAAGACAGGCTGGTTTCAAATTCTCAGGTGCAGGCCACACCAATCAGAAAAGCAGCTGCAGACCTTGGGAGTTGGAAGAACAGGTGCATGCCACGTCTCTCTAAAGAACCTCCTCCACTCTCTCAGTGACCCCCCCAACTGTCCCCAATCCCTACTGCTCTGCTCATCAGTGTATCTCACTCCCTAACCCAGGCAGACACCCCCTTCAGGACAAAAGCCAAGCTGGCCACCTGAAGCCCAGTCCCCCTCTTAGATGGAGGATCCATGCTTGACCAGAGGTCAAACTGACAGCCAGAAATCCAGGCCACAAAGACCAGAAAAACTAAAGGGGAAACAGAAACTAAGGAACATAACAAACTTGAGGGAGACACCAGCCAGCTGCCAAACAAGCAGGACGTGTAAAAGCTGAGGGAACAAACCTTGAGACTTGTGGCAAAGTATAAATAGAAATATGGGCTATTTAAATGTAAAAGTTAGGGCCAGAGAGATGGCTCAGAGGTTAAGAGCACTAGCTGCTCTTCCAGGGGTCCTGAATTAAATTCCCACCAACCACAACCATCTATAATGAGACCTGGTGCCCTCTTCTGGCCTGCAGGCATACTTGTAGGCAGAGCACTGTATACATGATAAATAAAAACCAGAAGACGAAAAAGAAGAAGAAGAAGAAGAAGAAGAAGAAGAAGAAGAAGAAGAAGAAGAAGAAGAGCCTGTCTCTTTAAAAAAAAATGTAAAAGTTAGCTAGTAACAAGTCTGAGCTATCAACTGAGCATTTATATACAATATCAAGTCTGTGTGGTAATTTGGAAGATGAGGCTAAGACCATTGAACAACAAAATAGGTCAAGAGGTATGGAAATCTCCCAAGGTCAACTTTTTGGGGAGGGAGATAGTGCTGATGTACAAAGGCAATCCCTATATGATTAGCATGCCCATGGATTTAGGCTGCACAGCAGTATTGAATACTTGGGACAGAATTGGAAAAGTAGGAAAGAAAATTGAGTCATTTACTAAAGCTATAAATGGCCCAAAGGAAGCCTTCACAGGTTTCTAACCAAGACAGACTTCAGTAGTAAATAGAATGTGAGAATCAGAAGCTGACCAAATAATAATTGAATTTCTGTCTTTTGAAAATGCTAATGCTAATGTAAAAAGGTATTTACACCCATGAAGGCAAGAATAGCACCCTTGTTGGAGTCTATTCAAGATACAATCAATATTGAATCTCATGACCATGATTGATGCATGGATAGGAGAGGTGATTTCCAGAGGTTTGAAGAAAAATAAAAACGTTAAGTGCTTGATTTGTGGCAGACAAAGTCATTTAAAAAGGGATTGTAGACAAGGCATTCCTAGAAAGAGTTTTTTCTAAGCAAATTTCAAATAGAATTTCTCTCACTTTTGTATTATGCAGAAGGTGTTGTAAAGGCAGGCATTGAACAAATGAATGTAGATCCACAAGAGACAGTCAGTGTACCCCTTTGCCATCAGGGAACACATGAAGGGGCCTCTCACAGGCCCCCATGCCAAATTTGGTTCAGTTGTTTCCTGGAACCATGAAGGAAACTCCTTCCCAGAGCAACTAAAGAATGTAATGCCTATTGTAAGAAACTATATTGCTCTGTATAATAGAAAATCCATAAAAGAGAGAACAAAAAATTCAGAAGAAACCCTACAGCAAATATTTTTGCAAACTTCTCTAAAGGGACAAAGACCAAAATTAGAATATGAATAACTAACATTGTCATTGAAGGCCTTGTAGACAGAGGAGCAAATGTCCCAATAACTGCACCAGAATCTTGGAATCCAAATTGGCTGCTTCAGGACGTAAATGTTCAGCTTTTAGGTATTGAAACTTTATCTCAGATAAAACAGAGCACAACATGGATCAAGCATATAGGGCCAGATGGAGAGAGAGGAAAATTATAACTATATGTGCCTAATATAGCAATGAACTTATGGGGACAGGATTTGTCACAGCAATGGAATATTTAGATTAACATTCCTCCCATCCCTGAAACAAATCATAAGTTAACATATGTTTCTGAGAAAAATATTAGAGAGGATTATAAATAACAGTCACCAAACATGCAGGTTGTACAAGAAGAGTGCACAACCACTGCTGATCTTTCAAAGGCACCAACAGCCCTACCTTTAAAATGGTTGACAGACAAACCTGTGTGGGTTGTGCAATGGCCTTTAACAACAAAGAAACTGCAGGATTCAGAACAGCTGGCACAGGAGCAGTTAAATATTCAGCATATTGAAGAATCAACCAACCCTTGGAAATCTCCTGTATCTGTTATTTTAAAAATCTGGAAAATAGACAATGGTGATAGACCTAAGAGCTATTAATAAGATAATTCACCCAGTGGGCTCTCTACAGTCTGGAATTCCTTTGTCTTCTCTATTGCTTAAAAGATGTCCTCTTACAGTTACTGACTTAAAAGATTCTTTTTTTTTTCACTATACTTTTACAAGAAAAAGTCAGAAAAATTTGCCTTTACAGTGCCTACTCAGTCTGTAATAATTCTCAGTCTGTTAAGAGATATTAATGGAAATTTCTCCCACAGGAATGTTAAATAGCCCCACCTTGTGCCAATTTCCTAGTAGGCCATTGGAAATAATACATAAATGATTTCCTCAACCTATAGTTTACTATTATGTGGATGATTTTTTTTTTTTTTTGGTTTTTCAAGACAGGGTTTCTCTGTGGCTTTGGAGGCTGTCCTGGAACTAGCTCTTGTAAACCAGGCTGGTCTCAAACTCACAGAGATCCGACTGGCTCTGCCTCCCAAGTGCTGGGATTAAAGGTGTGCGCCAACACCGCCTGGCCATATGGATGATATTTAACTAGCTGTCTAAAATGTAGATACTTTAGAAAGAATGTTTAAAGCAAAGACAATTTTGCCTTGTTGGGAATTACAAATTGCTCCCAAAAATACAAAGAGGAGAGTCTATTAATTATTTGGATATGAAATAGGTCTATAGAAAATTAGACCCAAAAAGGTAGAAGTTAGGAGAGATTGATTGCTGACTCTTAATGACTTTCACAGACTGCTAGGAGACATTTCCTATCTAAGGCCCACTATTGGAGTAGAAAAAAATTAACTGATCAATTTGTTCAAACCTTAGATGATGACAAGGACTTAAATAGTCCAAGAGAATTATAAGCTAAAGCTGAGAGAGAATTGGCTTTGGTGGAACCAAAATTACAGGATGTACATGTGGATCATTTGAATCCCAAGCTTGATTTCATTTTGGTCATTTTACCATCTAACCATTCTCCTACAGGAATATTAATGCAGAAGAAAGATATCTCAGAATGGATCTTTTTACCACATGAACAGAGTAAAAATTTAAAAACTTATGTGGAAAAGATCTCTGATTTGATTCTAAAAGGAAAATTGAGACTTCGTCAATTAGCAGAAATAGATGATGCAGAAATTGTAGTACCTGCTGGGTGGTGGTGGCCACCCCTTTAATCCCAGCACTTGGGAGGCAGAGATAGGTGGATCTTTGTAAGGTCAAGGCCAACCTGGTCTACAGAGAGAGTGCCAGGACAGGTTCCAAAGCTACACCGAGAAACCTTGTCTTGAAAAATAAAAGAAAGAAAAAAAGAAATTGTAGTACCTTTTACTAATGATAAAACTGATAAATTATTGGCAGAAAGTGAACCCTGGCAAAGACGTTGCAGTAATTTTATTTTAAGAGATTAACCACAAATATCCCAAAAGCAAGAGAATTCAAGTGATAAGGAGAACCAACTGGATGCTTCCTCGAACTGTAGAGAATACCAATGTCTGGAGCCCTTACAGTCTGTCAGAAAAGCTACCTGATATGCAACAGAAGGAAAGAAAAACTAAAGGACTATTTTATTGCCAAATTTAAACAACATAAAATAAATAATGTAAACAAAACTGTAATTAGCAATGATAGCAAAGCAGTAATAAAATGCCCCCTTAAGACAATTCCATGACCAGATTGATAGGACTCCATCAAAATTTCAAAGTACTAACATCTAATCTCCTTAAAATACTTGATGAAAAGTTTGACACTTCTGGACTCTTGGTATTATTACCTTATATTAAACCAGGTACTGATACTACCAAAAGGAAATTACAAACTGATGTGAACATTAAAAAACTATTATTAGCTATTTCACACAACTCCTACAGTGTATATTTCTGTGTTTTGTGTGCTTCAAATACCGCCCACTCTCACCTCCTGCCTCTCTACTATCCTGGTCCACAATTCCAACAAATCTGTCTATTGTGCTCATCTCTACTAATTTTGCTTGTGACCCACTGAGATTAACCAGAGCCATGTGTGAGATTGTGGACTTGGACATATGTGTTAAAGTCTGCTAGGCTCAGCAGAGGACACGACTAAAGGCAGTGATTCTTCTCCTGCAATCCATCCATAGACAACATTTGAGAGGGAAAGGGTGGGGCCCTGTGAGCCTTTGCCTTTCCTAGACTGACTGTGGTCTAGTGTGAGGTCAATGCAGGTCAGTACAGTTGCTGTTGGTTACTGATTTCAACAGCTGTATAGAGTCTAGAGAGTGGCGTGTCTTAGCCCTTCCTCCTCTTTCCCTTCTTACTCCCCTTCTTTGCTCTGCATTCACCATTGCATAAAAACAAAAACAAAACAAAATCTCTTACACTAGCCAGAATGACTAAAATAAAAAATGAAAGTCTAAGCTGGAGAGGATGTGGAGAAAAAGTAACACTCCTCCATTGCTGGTGGGAGTGCAAAATTGTGCAGACACCTTGGAAAACAGTATGGCAGTTTCTCAGGAAAATGGGAACCAGTCTACCTCAAGATCCATCAATTCCTGTCTTAGGCATATACCCAAAGGATGCACATTCATACAACAAGGACATCTATTCAACCATGTTCATAGCAGCATTGTTTGTAATATCCAGAACCTGGAAGCAACCTAGATGCCCCTCAAGTGAAGAATGGATGGAGAAAATGTGGTACATTTATACAATGGAGTACTACACAGTGGAGGAAAACAAACAATAAAATTCGAAAGCAAGTGGATGGAACTGGAAGAAACCATTCTGAGATAACCCAATCACAAAACAGAAGAACATGGTATATACTCACTCATATATGGATTTTACACATAGAGCAAAGGATTACCAGCTTACAATCCACATCACCAGAGGAACTAGGAAACAATGAGGACCCTAAGAGAGAAATACATGCCCCCCCCCACAGAAGGGGAAAGGGACAAGAACTCCTGAACAAATTGGGAGCACGAGGAAGGGGGGAGAGGTAGGAAAAAGAGAAGGGGAGAAGAGGAAGGGGGAGGAGAACAAGAGGGATCAGAAACACTGAGGCAGGGGAGGAATGGAGGAGAGCAAGAAAGGAGATACCTTAACAGAGGAAGCCAATACAGGTTTAAAGAGAAACATGGCACTAGAGAAATGTTCAGAGATCCACAAGGATGACCCCAACTAAGAATCAAGGCAGTGGTGGAGAGGGCTACCTTTGATGTCCTTCCCCTATAATGAGATTGATGACTACCTTAATTGCTGTCCTAGAGCCTTCATCCAGTAGCTGATGGAAGCAGAAGCAGAGATCTACAGCTAAGCACTGAGCCGAACTCCTGGAATCCAGTTGTGGAGAGGGAGGACTGATAAGCAAAGGAGCAAAGACCATGCTGGGGAAACCCACAGAAACAGCTGACCTGACCTAGTGAGAGCATGGAGACCCTAGTCATAAAGCTGGGGAACCAGCATTGGACCAAACCAAGCCCTGTGAATGTGGGTGCCAGCTAGGAGTCCAAGACACTCTATGGGACCTCTAACAGTGGAGCCAGTCTTTATCCCTAGAGCACAAATGGACTTTGGGAGCTCATTCCCTATGGAGGGATACTATTGCAGCCCAGATACAGCAAGGAGAGCCTAGGCCCTCCCCCAAATGATGTGATAAGACTTTGATGGTCCCCTGTGAAGGGCCTCACTATCATTGGTGGGGGATGGGTTGGGGGATTGAGGGGGTATAGGAGAATGGGAGGTAGAGAGAACGTGTGGATTGATATGTAAAATAAGATTGTTTCTAAATAAAAAATAAACATAAAGAAATTTATATTCTATCTAAAAAGCACCTTGTGCTAACTTGTTTCTGAGTTAGTAAAGCGACAATTCCTCCATCTAGTGGTAAGAGCAGTACAGGGAGGGGGAAACTAAGCCCTGGGCAGTTAGCAAATTCCTGAATTGTCTCTCCCAAAGTCACAATTACAGAAATTGATTTTAGCTTGTTATGTTTGTGT